AAATATTTACACATGCATTTATACACATACACATTCTCAAATATTCACACAATTGTTTTCACCATTCTCCTTTTTTATTCTTATCAGAGTTTAAGATATTTTAGTCAAGGTTTTATGTGTGTTTGGGCTAGGTTATGTGAGTTTAAGGGTGTTAGGATTAGCTTAGTTTTCAAGTAGGCTAGGTTTCATGCATTTGATGGGTTAGGGCTTTCAGTTTAGGAAGTGACATGCATCAATTTTATGTGATTTAAGCTTCATTTTATATTATATTTTACCTATTATTTTTTCTTACTTATTACAGATTTACATTTAAGAAAGACTTTGTTGATGTTGTGTAGGTTATAGTTATAAGACTCATTCAAGTTGGAATGAGAAAAACTAACCTAAATGCAGCCTAAAGAGGCATGACCACACCCAAAAAGTGGTGTGAACATGCCATGGTATCGACACCAACGACGTGACCACGCCACGATTTCACATAGGCGGCATGATTAGTCACTTGATTTAGAAGCCCGACATGACCACACAAGTTTTCACGTCGAAAAAGCGGGAAATTTTTTTGAAAAGAAATTCCCTTGCCAAATTCCTTGATTCTGATATAAGAATGATTCATAAGGCTTCCTGAGGGCTTCTTGAAAGAGGATGAAAGTTCTAGGATGGCTAGAGACAGAGATTAGAAGAGATTTTTTAGTGTTTCCCATACATTTTCATGCTTCTTTGGGTTGAAATGATTGGGTTAAGTTCTACCTTATATTCTTGAGAGTTTTTGATGGAGAGTTTTGTATGAGAGGGAGAGTTGCCATTGTTGCGAAGGAGATAAGTTTATTGTAAGTGTAACATGCCCTTATTTCTTGCAATGAAATTTTTCATAGTTATTTTTATTATGATTTTCTCAACAATGCGTGGCTAAATTTATCTTTGTGTCTCTTTGATGTAGGCGTAGTGGTTTTTATCGTGGTGTTCTGTGATATTTTTTTTATAATGTTTTCCATGCTTTCATGGCCTATGTTCTTGGTTAATCTCCAAGTTTCATTTACTTCTAGTCTGTCCAAATAGGATGCTAAAATATTTCTTGAAGCTATGACCTCTAATCATTATGTAACGAAAATGAAAGGATTAAACACAGAATCCTGAGAGAATAGACATATTTCAGTAGGATTCTGCAACCATTTATAGGGATCAAAACATTCATGCGAAATGCCATGAGGAATGAGGGAGCCTCAACTTCATGCATATTTGGCTTTCTTAAAATAGATATGGACATAAGGAGTAATGAATCCCCAATTGATAACAATCATGTAGGAAAAACTTTAAGAAAGTCACAATCACCACGATCCCCGAATCACAGAGGTGTGAGCCTAATCAGTTCTAAAAAATTGTCGAGATTTTTCTCACTTTTTCTATTTCTGCTGCCTGCTCTCTCCTCTGCTTTCAATATGATTTTTATGACTTAAATCCTTCTTTGCAATACCACTAAACTAGGTTCATCGGATTAGTAAATTAGAGAGCTTTTTGCTGAAATAATAATTAACACTTTCCTCGTGGGATCGATACACAAACTCTTAAACTGCTACTACTTGACATTGGCACTTGTATTGTACGACTAACTTGCTTCACAGTAAATTTTGGCACTTCAAGTTGGTTAAATAGGTTAGGGTTCTAGGTTGATGGGTTTGAAGGGTTAGGAATTTTGCATTTTATGGATTTAGGTAGATTAGGTTTCGATCAAGAAAAAAAGGGAGAAGAAAAGATTGTAATAACAAAATATATGATAGCGTAAAGTAATGCTCTATGATTTATCATACAAAAGTCAACATATACATGATACAAGATAAAGGGAGATTTACTATGTAAAAGACACCATATTATGGTAGAACATGCAAGGGAAATCAAAGGACAACATAATTCAAAGTGGATTGACAAAAAAAAAAAAACAAAAAACACAAGAAACATAATTACAAAAAACACAAGAAACATAATTTCATGGTGGAACTTACAAATACATGGTAAAAATTGAAATTAAAATTTAAATAACATGAAGAACATGTAAGATTACTAAATCACATGGTGGAAAATGAAATTAAACATGAAATAACATGAAGAACATGGAGAATTACTAAATCACATAGTGGAATTTCAAATTGGGAGAGGAAGGAAATAATGTTATACCTTCCTTTGTTGGATCTTAGTGTTCTTTCTTGCATTAATTTGACGATCTTCTCTTTTCTCTTCACTTGGATTTCCTTGTCTTTACTTGGTGTTCTTCTCAGTTTTTGAATGAAGAAAAGGGGAGGGTGAGGGCTCCATTTATGAGGAAGAATAGGAGGGAGATGGCTTGGGTTTTGAGTAGGGAGGATAATAATGAGGGAGATGAAGAGTAGAATGTGCGATGAATGACGGGAAAGGGGAGTAGTTCTGGGTTTTAGTGGAGTTAGTGGGGGTGGTTGTGTGGTGATGTGGAGTGGATGACTGGGATGAAGAAAAAAGGTTAAAGGAGAGAATGGAGGCAATGGATTCGATTAAGTAGAGGAGAAAGAGGAAGGGCTTGGATGTATAAGGCAACCAAATGGGAGGAAATGTAGTGGATTGGTGAGGTTGCAAGGGGAGAGTGGTCGGATGGAAGAAGTTAAAAAAAATGAAGGGCTTAAGTTAAGAAAATGCATGGAGGGAATTTTTCAAAAAGGATGGGTATTTTAATAATTTGCTGAGGTAGTTAGGGTAGTTATGCCAAAGGCAAGTATACGTCATTTTCAAAAAGATGAAATAAGGAGTCATATGATTGAAACCATATTGAAAAAAGTAGTGTTTAGCTCAAGTTATTGGCATTTGAAGTGGCTATGTGGTTAAAAGTTGGTTACAAGATTGTTACAATTAGGTTATGATCAAAATTTTGACTTAAACTCGTGAGGTAGAGAAAAATGCATGGAATTTTGTGGTGCATGTGGTTTTGATCAAGATAAGCTCCATGTGAATTTATAATATCTTTGCGTTGTTAGTTATATTCTATCTTGTGATTTGAGTTGAAATTTTTAATTAATTTTATTAGAACAAATAGTGTATTTTTGAATTAATAATATTTAGTTGATGTCCAAACTTGATTTGAGAATATTTTAAACCGGTTATGGCCAAAGTTTCCCTTTTTTCATCAAAATTATTATTTTCTCTCTCCAGATTATTGTCGGCTCAATGGGCCTATGAATGGAGTCAAATTTAAGTGTAGAGGGCTCTTTAAAAGGTTTCTACGATACAAAAACAATTGAAAAATAATTAAACTTGAAAAATTTTTACGTGGGAGCATTCTTCATGCACGAAAACCCTAAAATGCATAATTTTACTTAAAAACGGCGTTCGATGACTACCAAAGTGGTTTGCGTGCTCCTCATATTTGATTATGAAAATTATGCAACTTACATAACGTAATTTGGATCAACGAATTAGCCTATGGATAAAACGATAATTTAAGGGTTTGTGAGATAGAACTTTTTAGGCATGAAATTGAACTTGAAAATTTTATGTAAAAATAACTTCAAATGCTCGTTAAAGTTATTTACATGGCCTTTATATGTCATAAAAATTATCATGCAACTTTTATAATAAAATTTTGAGTCTTACAATGACCTCTGAAGAGAAAACGTTAATCACGGGGTTTTGGTTGATTTTTTTTTTATGGGGTTTTGGACGATTAAACTTTAATTTAAGTTGACTTTAGAGTTTGATTAAAGTTGGTTATATTTGAAGTTTGTTTCGGTTAATTTTACTTTTTGTTAAGTTAAACCTCAGTTTTATTAAATTATGGTTTGCTCAAGACTCGGCTCACATGAAATTAAGTGTAAGATAAGAAATTACGAATTTACCAAAAAAAGAGGTCTACATCTACTTGACTAAAATACGTATAATAACTTATACAATTCCCACTAAAAAAGAGACCTATATATGTAACTTTAAATATTATCCCACGCTCTCTATAAATAGTTGTCATTCTATGAATAAAGTGTTACACAAATTTGTCCAAAAAAGTCGGGAAAGACCAATACAATACAATTCTTCTATTTTAATGTTCTTTTGTGAACATCTCTTTTTCTCTTTATTTATTGGGCGTGATTCACAGATAAATCAAGATCCAAGCACCAAAAGTTCTATTTTAATTTATAAAGTCTTATTAATTTATCACATATATGTTTTAATCACAAAGGTAAATTCATACTGACATTTAAAAATCATAAACGTTATCTTCTTTTTTTTTTTAACTATTTATAACTTTTTTCACGCATGAACGAACTTTTGTTGCTGCTTATTGCTATCTCCAAGCATCAAAAGTTCATAAATCATCGATGATCAAAATTATGGATTCGAGGGAGCAATAAATTTTCTTAGGTACTGCTTTATCATTAAAAAAAAAAAAAGACACAAAAGCAGAGTCCACATTTTAAAATTGGATTTCGTTTTATTATACAATAAAATTAAATCCCAATATAACATCCAATTTTCATATGATTATATATTTGCTCTTATTTAAATTTGCATTTTAATAGGGTAGTTAGTAGTACAAGGTCTTCTTTAAGAAAATTAAGTGAACAAAATATTTTGACATATTATTATTTAGCTCAACAATAATTTAACAGGATGATTTTTTGATGATGGTAGATAAAGACAAAACAAAATAATTTAGTGGTTTATGGCAAAACATAAATATTTATGATGCCATTTCAGCAAAAAAATCCTTTTATCATAACTATTAATTATTTTTATTTTTATGGAAAATAATAATTATATAATTTTTTTTTAGAATCCTCAATATGAGATGATGGCGACAGCTAATTTAATAAAAAAATATTGAAAATTATTATTTAAACATAGAAATTAATTCTGACAATCTTTAATTTAGTTTCCAGAACTAATATAAAAATAAATAAATAGAAATTATTAATGATACTGATCAGGTGGCTTTTCTTAATTTAAAGTACGGTCTCCTACCTCAAAGTTTAAAACACACACTCCCCTCCTAAATTTTTTGGGGGCATGCGAAAACAACGCAGCTCCCGTTCTCGTCTCTGTCGACGGCCCCTCTCATTCCTCTCCATCATTCTCAATCTCGTCTCTCTATCAATCTCCCCGTGCCTTGAAATCATAGCTCCAAAATCTTATAAATGGTATGAGTGATTAAGGGAAGAATCGGCCTTTAATATTTTTGATTCGAAGCTATGCTCTGATATATCCTGGTTTCCTGCAAAATGAGTTTTCTCGATTCTCTTTTGGGGAAGAACGTGAGGAGATTCGTCAAGAGGAAAGACAGCGATGCAGGGGAACTAGGTCTTTTTTACTTGGATTGCCTTATATTGCATGAAAATGTTTATTATTATTATTATTATCATTATTTTACAATGTGCGATGTTGGAAATGGATTTCAGTCATTTCTGGCCTTTTGGGTGTTTAATTTTTGTTTTGTCCTTCTAACCGGACTTGAATTTGAAGTTGTCTTTTTTTTTTTTAGTATTTTCCGGGTATTAAATTTGTTTGTTTCATCTGCTTCAATGCATTTATTATATTTATGTAACGCGCAATCTGCATTATTAGGTTCTTAATGATATTCTTTGTGATTTGACTGTCATCCTACGATAATTTATTGTCGAGAATATTATTCTGTGATTTTTCCGTGATGCACACTTTTGTGATAAATCTAGGGTTTTAATTTATCCTGATAAGTGCTTGCGTGGTAGTGCCAGCGCTCAGTAATCCTACATTGGTATGCCGTAGTTATTTCTTTTTTGCTGCTGCATCTCAACAGGTTTTGCTAACAATATTTGTTTTGGAAATTTGGTCATAAATCTGAACAGTTAGTTTTTTTTTCTTTTTTCTCCTGCTAATGCCGGCCAGGGTGAGCGCTTGGACCTAATAGTAATAATAATAAAAAGAGCGAACAGAAGGAGATGCCCTTTTTTTTTTTTTTTTGGCCTTATCATCCAACATTAATTCTGGGATTCGGGGTCATTCTATTCATTAGCTGTTAGTGTTTTGACATAGACTTTGGTTTTTGGGCTGTTTTTGTTGCTATTATTTTAGGTGTAAAATAAAGAAATGCAAAAGTTTTAATTTTAATAAGTTTTCACATGGAGAACAACTGTGGAGTTCTTAATTATTTTCCACTGTCTTTTAGCATAAGAATATTAGAATGAATCTTATGATTTGCTTATATTTCAATTTTGTTTCTAAAATTCAGTACCCTCTCAAAACCAGAGTACATTTATTATTATTGAAATGATAATGATATATAGCAATTCAACCCTAACTTACTCAAATGAATTGCAATAAAGCTAAATTAATTTATAATACTTTGATGAATGCATAAGTTATTTAGTTCTCTTATCCACCCGCTTTTTATATTTTTCTGATTTTCACTTTTCAGAAGTGTGAATCTTATCTGCTTCAGATTTCTTTTTATGCAATCAAATAAATGGATTCTAACATAAAATGACCATAAGTACTTAGTGAGGTGGCTTCCTTTATGCTGATGCTGTGTAATTTTCTTGTATTCAATTGTCACTTTTAATGTGTGCAGGTCTTTCACTTGAAGAAATTCGCAGCTCTTTGTATAATGATTTTAATACTTCTGAGGGGGCAAGACGGAAACAACAACTATATTGCGGTCCTTTTATTTCAATGACTTTTAATTTCATGATCTCTGTTGGGATAATCATGGCAAATAAATTGGTGGGTCAATCCCATTCCGATTTTTTATTTTGTTGAATTCCTTGTGATTTTTTTTGAGCTTATCTTATGTGAAAATACATATGCATCATCTTGTCAGGGTATATGGAGATCAAACTGATGTTAAATTCATATTTCCATATCAAACATAGTGGAAATTTTAATAATCCTACAATAACATTTGGCACAACTAAAATAAAGCATTTTCCTTTAATCCAAATATGCTAGATTAATCTTGTTTGAACTATTATTCTTTCAATCCCACCGTCTGTAATTCAATATCGTCCTTATGGTATTGTTTTTTTTTTTGGCAGGTGTTGGGAAAAATTGGTTTCAATTTCCCAGTCGCACTATCGTTAATACACTATGTGACTGCATGGTTTCTGATGGCACTCTTTAGATTATTCTCATTGCTTCCTATTTCTCCTCCATCAAAATCCACACCATTCTCCTCTTTATTTCTCTTGGGGGCCGTTATGTCTTTTTCAACCGGACTTTCTAATATAAGCTTGAAACACAACAGGTGAGGATGAGTGCATGATTTATCAACTCATGATGTATTTGTATAATTTTGATGCCATTTTATGTTTTTCTCACCGGGCTTGGAAATTTGAACCTCTTATTTGGACGGCTAGAGAAAATACCACTTGATTAGTGTTTTATTGTTCTTAATGTTGATCAACTTACTACAAGTTAAATCATAAAATTTACCTTTTTCAAATTTCTTAATCAGTTTCCTGTTTCTAGTGTTGGGTTCTATCAGATGGCGAAGATATCTGTAACACCAACAATTGCTCTTGCTGAATTCCTTCTTTTCAGTAAAAAGGTTACCCTCTATAAGGTCTGTGATGTCTTTTGTTTTATTTTCTACCATATTATCTTTTGCATTGAATGGCACAATTCTCACATGCTACCCTTTCCCATTTTTGCATTTTTTTTTGGGTGAAGCAGGTTATTGCTCTTGCTGTGGTTTCCGTAGGTGTGGCTGTTGCGACCGTCTCTGATCTTGAGTTCAATTTGTTTGGAGCTTGCATTGCATTGGCTTGGATTGTCCCAAGTGCTGTAAATAAAATTCTATGGTCAAACTTGCAGCAAAATGGCAACTGGACAGCTCTTTCGTAAGTTGCTTTTTTGATTATTTTAAAAATCCAAATATTGCTTTTAGCATGCGTCTAAACCTAGGAAATCATTAGGTTGATGTGGAGAACAACTCCAATAACCATCTTCTTCTTCTTGGCTTTGATGCCATTGCTAGACCCCCCTGGGTTGCTATCTTTTGACTGGGATGTGAACAACTTAATGGCTATCTTAATTTCCGCTGTCTTTGGATTTCTCCTTCAATGGTCAGGGGCCCTAGCACTTGGGTAAGAACTGAATAACCTTAACATTTGATGCTGCCAAAATTTCTCAATTCATCATTACTAACAGATGCAGAAAAAATCTCATTACTTAAAAAAACAACACTTTATCTACTTTTGAAACAATTTGTTAATGAAGTTAGAATGCTTCTTAGGAGTGAAGAAATTTGATTTCTCACTATTCTTATTAGTTCTTTGCAAAAATCGAAGTTGGCAGAAGTTTTATATTTGAATAAATGTGTATTTTCAAGTGTAGTAACAATTCATTTCATTTTGAAATGTCAGTTTGATTATAATGAGGCCTATATTACTATTCGTGTTTATGTGAACTCATAATGGAAGATAAAGTGAGAATTATTTAGGAGAAAATACTTGTTCATTCCGTTGCTCTTCAAAAGATGGTACACATACATAGATAAGTTTGAAAAATAGCATGTATAGGAAATATGACTAAGAAAACAAGAACTACACCAATTAAAAAAATCAAAAGTTGGACTCCTATAATTGTGTAACAATATAACAGGAATACAAAAAAGCAGTTAGAGGATCAAACCTAAACAAAAAAAGCTACAACATCCAGGAGGCCTTTCAATCAATTGAAATCCACCTAACTAATGAGTGCAAACTTGGTAATTAGTTTCAGTAAACTGTACTGAAAATGTCCCTTGTTAATGCGAGAAAATTTGGAATTATTCTGTAGCAAATATAACAGCTGATTGGATCACAAGATCAAGCATCTTGATATTGACAATTACTTGTTTTCAAATAATTTGGGTCTGGTTTGTACTTTACCTTCAGAATTGAAATTCTCCACTCTCCCTCAGCTGGATAATAACTGGATATGAAATGTTGGCATTCCTAACTGCTTAATTTGGTTGTCAAAGTTCATGTTTGAGAGAGCTTTAGTAAGGATGCCAGCAATTTGCAGCCAGGTTGGTGTGTAAAAAAGTGAAATAATCCGAAGGTCAACATTTTCCTTGATTAAGCGATGATTAACTTCCACAATTTTAGTTCTATTATGGTGAACATGGTTTATTGTAATTCTTATTGCAGTTTGATTACCACAAAGTTATACAATGTGTTCTTTTTTTGGCATAAACATCTCATTAAGGAGTTTTTAATATTCTTTCACAAATTTCTTGGTTCTTGGCTCTAAATCTTGCTTCAACGTTACTCCTGACTAATATAATTTGCCTTTTCTTCTCTATATTAGGAGATTATCCCATATAGGGGTGTAAACGTGCCGAACACGAGCGAGCCATGCTCAGCTCGTGTTCGGCTCGTTTATATTT